ATACAAAGTTCTTCTTCATTTTGAAAATTGCGCATAATGGAGATTACTTTTTCTACGATTTGTTTTTTCGATATAAATCGATGATTTATTCTTCGAAGTAACGTAGACGGTTTTATAGTAGAGTAAAGGATTGCTTTTATAGAATAGGAATGTAAAATACATTTCATCGCAGCTATTTGCCGAATCATGAAGATGAGATTGTAGCATCCGTAATGTTCGATGAGATCCGACTGATTGGACTATGTATCGATTTCTGTCGTCTGAACGGTCTCCTTTTCTTTAAAATCCCTGTCTATCCCTCAACACAACTGTGATACACGTTTAGATTTTAAAAGGAAACAGATAACGCAAGAAAGTGCAGTATGGAATGAATCATAGGCCAATATACATATAGAAATATACATATAAATTGAATCAATAGTAAAGAAGTAAATATGTACATGTATATTATTATAAATATATTCTATAGTAATTATTGTAATAATGTCAAGCGTAAGTCGGAAAATGAAATATTGAAATTATGTACAATAAAGAGTATATTGTGTAGATCGTGGAAAATTCTTCACCCTCTCCACGTGCAAGAGTTTTCATTACGAAAGAAGAGATTCAAGTACTTTATAATTTATTTTAACTTAGTTATAAAAATAATTTCAGTAATTTACTAATAGTGGTAGATGTTTTTCTTATTTTATCTTCTCTATGACTATTTTTATAATGTAGTACATGTATTTATAAAATAATCGGCTACAAATCTGACAAAATTCACACGTTTGGTAAGACATAAAAAAGATAATTTAACGCCTTTAATATTATATCCCCGACTTATTAATTATAGTGACTTATAGTTTTTACACATTTATCACATTCTGCATGTTTAGGACGTTTTAATATTTACTTCTATCTATAAGTTCCTCCTAAAAATAGATGCTGTAGATATTATACCTTTTTCTAAATTAAACAAGAATTTCCGAAAATATGTAGCCTAAATGATGAATCTGATTATTCAAATTATTCTGAGTTTTATATTATTATTTATATTATTATTTTTAATTGTTAAGCGTTACGTTTAATGTAAAAACAAAATTTTATGAAGTTTTACGGTAAGTACTACAATGTATTTTAAAATGCAAGGTTCAAACTGTTTTAAAATGCACTTAATATTAAAACGTTACGAGATCTAAGATTGAGGAACAGCAAAATTGTTATATTAATAAATATTATTTCTACTTCACGAATATCTCTTCCTAAAATTATTTTCTGAAAACGTTAAAAAATACGTTATACTTTACAGTTTCAGCATTACCAATGAAGTTTGCTATTAATACTGATTATATCACGTGTCACTCAGATATTATCATAAACATACAGTTTGAGGTTTAACATTTTAAATCATCAACCACAAATTATGTAAATGATAAATGCACTTTCAGCTACTTATGTATACTGACGATTCCACGTCAAATCGAATTTGTTTGTGTTCATAAATAAGTCAGATTTATTTAATTGACAAAATTTAATAGTAGCGAAGATAAATATTTTTTTTCAAGGATAGTTTTCGTGAAACTAGTTAATAATTCCACTTTTAAATTTATTGTTCTTAAAGAATTTCGAAATTGTAGAAATGATACTTAAACCTCCCTTTTAAGAAATAATAAAATAAGGTAACAACGAAGAACGGAGATCGCCGGTGCTACAAAAATGTATACACGTTTTTAAAAAAGACGTGTTGCTGAACAAATAACAACTTAGTTGTATATCTCGAATTGTATATTAAGTATAAAATAATAGAATAGATAAAAAAAGTATCGAATTTAACGTGGAATGGTTCACAGGATGTTTGACATTACTTTTGGCATTTCTCGGTTCATGACGCAGAATGTTGAAACACCATCGTTTTTTCTTAAATACACATTATGTAAATACGGTACATATTTCATATTTTATCATTAAAATGATGTACGTACTTCGCTAAAATATCACAATTATTATATCATTCACTTGTATTTAAAATTTGTACTTGATCTCTCAATACGTACACAAAATTGTCCTTAAGCATGACATTCTTAATGGAATACCTAAGAAGTCTTTTTTTCCGTAAATAAATATAGTATTTTAAAAAATGTTAAGTACACTTTTCAGGAGGGTAGGGAAACTTAGATATTAAGGATTGCTCAACCATTTTAAACATTATGTCACCTCCCACACAGTCGAGCCGTCGCTGTTTCTATTGACTCTGGATCCTACGTCCACATGAGCGTCCAGACCGTCGCTCAATTTGCTGAACCGCCTTGACCAGCTTCCTCTGCCACCGCAGCCTGTTCTACCAATGCTTCCTGCTTCTCTAAGCATCGACAGGATATCGTCGTCGTTTTCCCTGCCCTTCAAGCCTTTTTCGTATTTGGCTTCCTGAGCGAGCAACTTTTCTCGTTGCAATTGAGTTCCCAAAGAGTGTGGCACCGCTGGTATTACATAGCTCATTATTCCAGTTAAGGCGAATACCTGATCATTGAGAAAATAATGGAAATTGTAATTTTCCCTTAAATATATGTGCATAATTTCAAAACATTTTTTGAAAAATAAATATAATTCGTCATCTTTCGTTCAGTTATATTGTTTTTTTGTGTCTTGTGTTTAATGTGTTTAATTGAATATAGGGAATATGATAACTTATCAATATATCTATATTATCATTGTTGTCATTATTCTTGTCTTTATCTTAATAATACGGATCGAATTCATTGTATTTATGGAGTTTCATCTCTATCACACTAGCCTAGTCCTAGAGACAAAGCGAGCTCTTGAGCTCCCAATAATGTTTCCATAACATAATTATGAATTATAATGAAAATTTGATTTTCATTAATAAGCGATGGCCGAGAGCCTGCACTGCAATTTGGGGAAGTACCTCGTGCATTATTGCGGTTTACCCTCTTAAGTTTATGGTTGTCGGTCAGTATCGAAGATACTATCGTAACAGGTAGTTTGTGAATTGAATTGAAGTGTTCCTTTTTATTAATAATATGGTACTGGACACATCTTAAATATAATTGAAATATAATTAAAGCTAATTTTCAATATAAATTATAGAGGAGTAAAAAGGTCATCTATCCATAAAAGTTTATTGTTTGATATCGAATAAACATTATTTGATAATTATTTTTTTTTAACTCGCTGGAAACGAACGAACTTTCTTTAATAATCTTTTTTTAATTATTAAAAACAAATGAATTCTGATTGATAATACTTTTAAACTGTTTCCATCTCTTAATTTATTTATCTTAATATGCACGCGTTTAACTGTAGCATAATATGTGCAACGTATAAACAATTTCAGGTCTTATGAATGTTCGTCGCAGGATAAAATCGTAATCGTAATATACAGATGCATAAAGAAACTTATATAAACACTTACAATATGTTCGAAAACGACCACGAAAGCCAAACGAGCTGCAAAGACGTGCCAATATTGCGGACTGAGGCCATAGGGATCAGTTGGATGATCAGGTCCGTTTCTGTACCCTCTGTATTGGCAAGTTTGCGGATGTTTGGTTTGCGTTTGACTCTTCATGTCATCTCGATAGTCCGATGTATTGAATTCTGACAGAGAACTGTCTATATAGCCGACTAAATCATTCGTCGGCGAATAAACGATAGCGTACACGCTACGTGGAATGAAATCCGAAGTGTACGCAATTACGAATGCCTTTGGAAACAAATAAATTAAGATTTTATTATCTTAAGATTTCATTAAAGTAAATTGTGAACTTTTATCTGTGGAATTATATAGAGTGCCACCATAATTAGTAATACATTTCAATGGGGTAGTTTTTTTGTTTGCTTGCAAAATTGTGTACTGCTTCATTTAATTTCATACGAAACCAAAGAAAATTTATTTTTAATTGTTCTTTCAATATGCAAATTTCTTTATTCCGGATTAATTCTTATAATTCTTATAAATACTGACAGGGTAATGTGTTTCTCCAATACAGTTCTCACTTAATCTTTTTAAACATTGATGAATGTTACAAATCAATCAATGAAAGGAAAGATGATGTTTAATATTAAATTTATCGTAGAAAATTTTATTTTGGGAAAGGAATCAGTTTAAAAATTCGTTGGATTCCTATGAAATTAGATACAGCTTTTATCAACGACACATTGTTTCCAATTGTATTAGTGTTGTCGTTCGTAAATTTTAACTATATTTCAACATACATCACTGATTTTAAATCACTAATAACAAACAAAAACATTGAGTAATAATAGAAATGTTAGTCAGTGTAATATTCGATAGTACGGGTACTTTAAAAATTTTTTAAATTGTTATTTTGGAGAATTATATTTTATTTCTGTTTTTGTGGTGCATTAGACTTTATGTAATAAAACTAGCAACAAGTTATTACATAAATTCCATTATTAACTTTTCTACAGATAAAAAGAAATGATCTTACTCAATGGAAGAAATTATTCATGCGTACTTAGAAATCACATTGACCTTCAGATAAATGTTCATGCATAATGATGAACAATGGCATTCTATTTTAACACATTGCGTGCCGGCTAATTTACAGAAAACTGAATTGTGTGGGTGGCAATTTTCAGTGAGATCAACTTATATCACTATACATACAAAAACTCAAATATCATATTGTTATGTAATATATTTTAAATAGACAATCAATTCGAATCAAATTTAATATTTTTTAAACGCTGTGGTATTTAGTAAAGTTCCATAGCTAAGTGTCTTTATATAAAAACGAGATTTCTCATTACAAGTACGCAATGTGTTAATATTAAATACATAATTCGTGAGTGTGCATTTGTTTAAAGTGATTCATACGTACATTGGACACGACTGCAACGTAAGTCACACCACGAAGTATCCCGTACCAGGCACCAATATCTTCCACTCTCTCTGCTAATGGTCTTCTCGCCTCTTTCACCATTTTATAAGCGTCTAACCGTATTTCCGCTATATTATTTAACAGGGCGAACAACGGCGCCAATGGAAACGCCGCGACGAACAGCGTTACAAATCCATATTGCAATACTATGAACAAGAAAACAGTTACATAAAATTTAGTCAAATGCTTTTGTTCACCACATGAATATGTTTAGGGGCTTCTGATAGAAATAACAAAGAACATTTTTTGTATGATAGAATTTTAAATAGAAACTACTATATACAAAAACCGTTTATAAAGTAGATAAGATATCATTCTCCATTAATGATTAATTGTTAATGTCATAATATCTCTAATTAAGACTGTCGCCAAAGAAAACCTTAAGATGAAGGATTTAATATTCAAGTTCATAGATCCTTATTAAATGTGTTATATTAAACATGTTAACACATTTTTTAGTCATCGATAAATAATTCTTTCACTCATATCTGAGTTAAAATAGCAATTTTAAAAGTAATGGACTGCATTATAGTAAGACAGAGTTTTATTAGAATAACTAGAGGTAAATTAGAGATGCATAGAATTTACAATATTATTAAAATTATCGTATGTAAAGGGGAACAAATAATAAAAGTGCAATTACTCATTTCCAGGTACTCGTCGAAGAGAGCCAGTCTTCCAGGATCTTGCAACTGATAATCTTTTTCCCAGCAGGTGTAAGGCCTAGCGTGATCCTTCGTTGCTGCAACGTGGCTCCTTTTACGCCACCAGTTCCACATTTTCGGAGACAATATCTCCACGAAATTGTTGAAGCACTGTTTCCCCACCATTATAATAGCGAGCTGAATACAGACTTCCGATAGACAGCCGGCTGGATCGCAAACGTCCATTTTTATGCGGACGAAATCGGAGCTCCTTGCATCCGTATCCCCAGGATGAACAAAGAACCTTCCCTAAAGATTAATATTTATTATTTTAGAAAATGTAATACGTTTACCGATGTAATTATTGTCTGACTAGTAAGTACAAGACTTGTCGGCGATCACCATAAATATTACTCCCTTTGTCCCGTATTATGATATACATTTCTTTGAAATTTTCTGATTATGAAACATAATAAAATTAAAAGAAGTTTTTATAACTCGTAGTAGCGTAAAGAAATTTTTCTAGACATTTTGTATAGTTGGCTTTGACCTGGTTGGACTCTTTCATGAAATACGGTTACTCAAAGCAGTGAAAATCAAGGAAAATTTAAATGACATCCGTTGCGATAACATTATGAAAGACAACGGCGCAGGTATTACTTCTGCAGATAAACGAAGCAATAAATCAAAGCAATAAGGAACAAACTTCGCTGACAAAGACATTCGCCAGTTTCTATATTGTATATCAAGCGATTAATACACAACGTAATAATTATATCAGTAATTAAGTATTTAAAGAAAGTTTCTAAAAAGAAACGATTTGAAATAAAGTTTACATAAAAAATAATCATGTGCGTATGTTTGGTATACCATATTATGCGACAAAAAACAAAGGTCAAATGTGTACTATAATTTGAGACAGAGCAAATAGAAGATAGTGAATAAATAATGTTATTAAATTATCAGTTAATAAATTATATTTTTAACTAAATGATTAATATCAATATAGTATTAATATATGTAAAAAACATTCAAACCGTATGCCAGAAATGATTAATACTAATTTAATTGAGATATCCGGGTCAACTAATGAACGATATTTATAAGTTTTAAGAAAAAATTTCAATTCATTTTAAAATGAAAATACCATGAAAATTCTAGTAAATTATTCATCTTCAACAAGATGAATATACAAAGTGTGATAACATAAGTTGATTTAGTTACGAACCTTAAAGAACGCAATATAAATCAGAGATGAATAGAAATTAACGAACTCGAAGAGGAATATCTTAAAGGTGTAACTCGACTCGTATTCAGTCTGAGTCCTTGGGTTCTCCATATTGACCATCCATCGCGCCAAACGATGGTACACTCTAGTGAGTATCATGATGATGATCAAGTTGACAAGAGCGGCGGTCATAGAAGTGAAGATTTTCGCGTGTTTCTTCATAAATGGACCACCGCTGCTGTAGAACACGGCCACCAGCGATATTCGATAAATAATGGTCCCCAGCACTGCACCCAGAACTACGCATATCTAAGCACAAGTGTTATACGTTAGGCATTCGCGATAAATTAATAAAGATACTGTATTGAGTATTGACTATCTTTCTATATCTCTATCTATATACTCAAAAATATTTTCGATAGAATAATATTTACGTTAAAATTATGTAATATGAAGTTAAAATTATTTAATTACTATTATTTTATTTAATTAAAATTTGAAAAATATTATGCGAAATAATATTTATATCAAAATGATATTTTGGTTGAAATAACAACGATTTTATTAATATATAAACAAATGGGAATTAACTTCTGTCGCTATCAGACACATAAGTATTTAAAATATATTGACGAGTGGTTGATAAACTTTTCAGTAATATCTTAAAGAAAAACAAAAGATATCTTGAACCTAAAACAACCTTTTTAGCTTTTCTAATAATTCAGTTAGACACTTAAAAATGTGGGAGGAGGGTCTACCGGATTGATTTTAATTGTAATTTTTTGATATTGTTCGCAGTTTGCAAGATGTCAATTGTTTCTTTGTGTTTGTGTAAAAAATATTCCTTTGATATAGATACGATCTTGGTCTGATCAAATAGAATATTATGGCCTGTGGTTAAATGATTTTTGGCCACTGTGTATACTTTAGTCAGGTGCACCGCTCACGTTCTTTGAGTCGATGTAAACTTTACTGGATTAACACGGTATCTTATAAATGCCAACATTACCAAATGGCGGTGGAACGCTTTTGGGGGTGCTGATGATCTGATCGACCTTTACATTGGCGATGAGCTTCTTTAAAGTCTAAATCTTTTTAATGTTTTACACAGAATTTAATTACCATGAAGAATACTATGGAACCAGTTGCACAGAAGCGCAACGCTTTCGACCAAGTGGGCAAGTATGGTTCTCTTTCCCTGGTCACGGGATTTATCCGGAATGTTTTCACCGTAGTTTCGAACTCCGGCCTGGGCTCTTCGTCGTTCTCAACATTCTGAAGATCCCATTCCCAGATTATAACTGCTTGTCGACGTTTCCATAACTCCAAAAATGTAGTTGCTAAATAGAACAATGATATCTGTGTTATTAAGAGCACATGGTCATTTCGACGGCATATTGTATACTTTTTGTGAATAGTACCCCAGAAGGACATGAATATAGCGAAAAAGACGGTGGCAGGATTATCAAACAGGTAAGAAAGCTTCGAGAAGATACAGGAATCGCCGAGCCTTTGATAGTCGCACGCTTTGTCGCAGATAGGGCATAACGTGATATTTCCTGAAAAGGGAAAATATTAGTTGAACGCGAGACTAACCGAATTGGATAATAGTAACGCAGAATATTCTATAAGTAGTGAGTAGTAGTGATTCAACTAAGAAAATTAAAAACTAAGTTTTAATCACGATTGTAATTCTGCGTGAAATATTAAGTCGAAATGATAGAATAAAATTTGTTTTCATTTGAGACTTCCTTTTTCAAAAAATTTAAGAGCGAATATTTCTGTAGCATGCGTTCGATTTTCTGATTGAATCCAAGCGACAAAATGAATGGAATATTATTCTACATATAAAAATAGGTAAAAATTGATGCATTATTTTCGAAGAAATCAAAATGAATACACTTAAAACATACAAAAGCTACCGCGTAAATAGTGTTCCAATTTACCTCGTAAAAAAGAGGCTTGCGTGAAAAAAGTCCGTATGAATCGAGGGTCAGGTGTATGTTTAAAAATATTCAGAGTGAATACAAATTTAAAATGATGCACATAGAATTGTCCCCTGCTATGCTGTAGTGCTAATTATAAAACATCTTGTACATCGGATGAGAAATTACCAGCTATATTTCCGTTGCAGATTTCTTGACTCGGGATGTTGTCGCTGCTTTCCATGCTTCCAACGCCATACATGAAACACAGGAGACCAACAATTGCTGGCGCGTACAAGCATTTTGTGTAAAACCCGAGCCACGCGAAGTACAGTGCTACCTTCTCGCCAAAATACCGTCTGATCAACCATAGTGGTTGTTTCTTGTACCTAAGAATACAATACACTATACTCGGCTGTTTGCTAAACTTTTCCAATCATTCTAAGTGAAAAAAGTTATCAACTTCTTAAGAAAATCCTTGATGAAGTTACCATTGAGAAGGTCTTGCCCAGATCAGGTACAGCAAGTGTCTGTCCAAGATTTCCCCATTCAGAATTGGTTTGTTGTAAGGACCCTCGTGCAGAGAAAAGCAATCGAGGTAAGTACCATCTGCTAGGAGTCTACGGATACCAGCTTTGTCGTGATGTTCATCGTATCTAGCTCTCAATAATATCTGCATCACTATTAGCGACCTTTGGGCTGGCGTGTAAGCGGTATCTCTGTCCTTCACCACGAATCTATGAAAAACCACATGAAGATTATATCAATAATATTATATTATAATAATATTATAATATTTGTATTATAATATTTATATTATATTATTGTGTCATAATCATGACATTCCTACCACGAATTTATTTTCATAACGTTAGTACATAAATAGCAATTTTCAAATCTGTTGGAAATCTGGAGACGTTTCTGAGCATTTTGATCCCCTTGGTACTATTACTATTAGGTTAGCCAAATGTCTCGTCGCATGTCTAAATGAAGTTTACAGAAAAATTTCACTTCTTTGAATTTCATTGGGCTATGCATTTTATAGTTTTTTAGTTTACGTACTTGTAATATTTATTTATACATTGTAGTATACATAAATGCCATATTGAATAGTACCGCAAAAAGACTCTTTTGGCTAACTTAACATTTTGCGTTGCTATTTTTTAATTAGGGATTGAAAGGTTCCGAAAATAACTGTTTGAAACTGTTATATATCGATTCCGACTGTAACAGTCACGGGGAGCCGAAATAAAGTCATATCTGTTATTAGGCATATCGGTTCTGAGCTATATTGATTCTGGTTCTAGCTCTTCAGAACCGATATAGCCGGAACCGACATACCTAATAAGAGTTACGATTCTATTTCGGTTCTTCACGACTGTTTCAAGAATCGGAACCGATATACCGTAATGTCTTCAACCCCTAGTTTTAATCTAAATAAAACGCTCTTTACATCTTGCAGTTTTATTACCTTTCTTCGCGGTCACCAGAATCGATGCTTTTATAAAAACTAGGTTCCTCCGAATACATGCGTGTGTCCCAAGTATGTATCTTTCTTATCCACTTTATCCACTTTAAGCATTTCTCCCAAATCTTCGGCCTCTTTTTCTCATCCTCGTTACCTTGCTAAAAGAAAAGATAAACCAATTTTTTCAATATTTCAACTTTGGGTTCTCGGTTTTGTATCTATTTTCATTTATGGACGTTATTTTATTTTTATTTTCTATGCATTTACTTTCATATTTGATAGAAAACAGATGACGAACTTTGATCAGCCTACCCAAGCTTTCACAGAAATAGTAATGAATCTCTTGGTGGGCAGCTTTAAGTTCATCACTTCGGCATATTGTACTTTGATCTTCCACGGTATGTGCAGCTTCAAAAAGTACGTTTTGCCGTCGAAAGAGTTCTCCTTCGGTTCCAATTCCAATTGCAGGCCCTCCTTTAACAGATTCTGCTGAAACACGCGTCTCTGCTCCAGCCGACGTGTCTCGATTTCGGTCAGCACACCGTTACTATCCTCTTGATACACTAATACTATATCAATTCGTCTTCGACCATCGCTAGAAATGGATTGGTAAACTTCAGACGATGATAAACGATCGAAATTTTGTGAAACAAGTTAAAAAATAATATAAAAACTATATAGAAAAGATTTTAATGTGGCTTGCTGCAAATGTTTCGGGAAAGTATGAGAAAAGTTACAAATAAGTTTGAACTAATGGTTTAATTACTTTTCAAAATATTCTACTTCAATATTGATTCATTTTCAATTCTATTGTGTCAGCACTTTCTAACCTTAAGATTGTAAAGCTTTACGAAAATAGCATAAATACCTGGGTTGAAAGATTCCCGAAATTTTTGTAGCTACCTACGTATAAGTTTGTGAGCAGACACAGTGTTACATGTTTCTTTTTAATTTAACACCTTTGTAACCATGGTTTTAATTAAATATCAACATTAAATATTAAAAGCATAATAATCTTTTTGAACGAAGTTCAATTTCTATTTATGGATGAAGTTTCAATGGATGAAGGATCAATTCTGTGCAAAAAGATCGCACATCTTTCAATTCTCCAAACATTCATTATAAATTTGGACAATTTTGTTCCTTATTTTTCAGATGAAAATGAAAAATTCTGAAATAACAAAAAATTGTGTAATTTAAAATAGATTTGTAACTTTAACTTAAAATGATTTTAAAAAGAGTACGTGCGGTTTTATACGAATCGCATGACGTGTCTGTTCACTATTTACTGTTTCTACTTGTCATGGTCATGAATAATTATATTTGATCTATTGTATGCAGACCAAACAATTTTTAATTCATTATACATGGTACTATGAATATAGAACAACTTCTCTGCAGAAATGTATACGAACGCTGGCTTTTCTAAAAAAATTTACTGATACTGGCAGCAAATAAAGTTCAATCTTCTTTAGGAATTATTCAAGTGCATTTAATAAATATTAATATGATTAAAACAAAAAGCTTTCGTTCTTCCGTAATCCCAACAAATATACGTTACAATAATATTATACATAATAAAGTTCTATCAAAAGATTATCTACAATAATATTGAAAAGCTGAAAATACTGCCGTTCTGGTAATTTCTTTTCAGAAAATGGTAACGATAAAGTGAATAAGTGGATAAATGTATATTATGTTCTCGTCCAGATAAAATCTTTGATATCAACTGTGACGAAAATAATTCTCGAGCAATGGAAGAAACTTATCAAAAAGTACAATCGCAATTCAGTAATTCAGCGATAGTATCGACGATGTATGAACACGATGAGAAAATTAATTATGTAAAAGCTCTTTTTACAGATGCTTCGTGCTTTCGAATATAGCTCGTATTGTCTAAAAATAAAAATAGCCTTTAGGGACGGACCTTTCCGTTGTCTACGCGTTCCACTTATTGTTGGGGTGCTTATGCACACATGACCGTGACACAAGCTAAATGTTATACGCCCTCGTACGAAACAAACACATCGAGCTTCGAGTTTTCACCTGTTTAATCATTCACAAGGAATTTCGCTCGCTAGTGAACAGGTAACTGCACACAGTAACGATAGTGTTTGTCTTTGCATGCTCTTAGAATTATATTTCATAGCAAAAAACTAGCAGGGACTTCCACTTAAATCTAAAATACCGATATTTTTCCATTATATCTTCCAATATACATCGAAATAGTACAATACCGCTATTGTTCCGATTTTCGGTATTATATCACTTTTGTACAGCTTTTTGACCTCATACTGGTATTAACACTTTCGCGACGGACGATAACTGGACAAAACGTTTAGCTGAATACGGCGTATAATTTCTAAATGTCTGCTGCCGAGTAAGGGAATATTCTGCTATTTTTAGGTATGTGAATATAAGAAACATTACATCTCAGTATGATACGTATAGACATTTGTTATTCAAAGTTTTCAAAAATTAAACATTAGAAACGTGTATGGAAAAAAATATTTTACGTAATAAAATGAATATAATGAATTTGCAGGCACGCGAAATTCAAATTAATTTACAGTAACATTTTTTTATACTTATTTCAAATAACAATTTGTGTAGTATTTAGTAAGAAATATAAAATATATTTATAAAAACACATAATAACAATCTAATAAGTTTAAGAATATAATTTAAGAATATTTTTCTTTAGTATGGTATTTCATATAACAATTGTCTTTACATAACGGTACTGACGAAATTTGAATATGAATGAAGTCTCTCTACGTTTACCATTCTTTGAACTGACTTTACATCATCTTTGTTGGAAATGGCGCTAATTTTCAAATGCCGTAGGATGACGTGCTCGTATTCAGATAAAAAATTTGAAACAATCTAGGTCTACGTTTCCCTTCGCGAAAGTACTAATATTATTTCGGTTTTAACTTTCAGGCCCATTACCGGTATCAAAATCGTACTGGTATTAATCTGATCTTTAATCTGATCATTAGCAAGTTAGCGAGTAATTAATTTTGATTATTAGGAGTGTTTCCTTTTTTGAATGAAAAATATTAAAAAAGCTTCCAAAACTTGACTTTTTTCACGCTACAATATTATTTCATTTGTATGCATTTTTTGGAGTTTCAAAATGAGTCAAACGCTCCATTATTTTACAAAATTAAATAATATAAATTAAAAATAGTTAAGTGAATACAATAAAAAATAAAAACAAATAAATTAAGAATAATTACAAATAGAGTAGATAATAATGAAGTAGACATGTTAAAGAGAGGATTCCATTATTCCTATTAATTCAAATTTGATATAAAAATGTTTTATCATGCTATAATTTGTATAAAAATACCGAAACTATTTTTTGCTAAGGATGGCAAATGATCTTTTTCTCTTTTCCTTTAAAATATTTTTACAAGTTTCTCACGTACCGAAAAAATAATGTTTCAGGGTCCAGTTCCAAGTTCGGGGACGAACCTTTTTGCAGAAAAGCATCGTCTCTTGATACGTCGTCCGGAAATATCGGCGAATCTATCAATGGCGGAGTATTGTCTGGCGTGACTGGTGCAGTAAGTCTTGGACCTGCAAAAATAGAATAATTCCTTCAAATCATTAACCGAAATAATCTTGGATATTTTATTATGCGTAGCTTATATCTCACCAAATATACCATAAAATCATAATAAATATAATAAGTAATAAATAAATATTAAATATTTATTTCTCTTGCAATTTTGAAGGTTGTTTTCACCCTTTCATTATAAACAATGCTTGATACAAAAGTACGCAAAAACTAATTTTTACCAAACCTTCATAAGGATAATAAGATTAATGATATCTTTATTAGTAAATAAAAAAATAAATAACTACAATGGAAAGATGATACATAATTATATTGAATTCTATTTATTTTGAAACGTTAATATTGTTTTTAGTATGTCAAAATATTTGGTACAAGCATATAAAAGTAAAAATAAAGATTGTTTAAATGTTAAAAGCCGTGGTAAGTAGTCTTTTTAAACATTACAAAACGTTATTTTATATATTCTAAGTATTATGAAAGTAGTTTCCAAGCGAATTATACTTGTGGCACTTGTTATCTTCATCTGCTTATTAAGTTTTCATTTACAATGATCATGACCCATATGTGAGCCTAGGTCAGGGTGTCTTTATACGTGTTAAACGTGTATTGTGAATTACCGAGACAAGTTAGCGGACAATACTTTTTCAGTTATTAGCTTAATCCAGTTTAATCATATCGGAAAATTGTAAAGTAGTTGTTTAAGTAATTATTCTGTTCATATCAATGAACAGAAAAAAACCATCTCTGTAGAAACATTTATGAGATGTTGTTTTATATGTTTTCTATCATTTTAAAATATTTTTCTCCTTTCGTCATTGTAATTCGAAGGAAATTCAATTTCGATGTTTACGAATCGAAATACACCGTTAAGCACCTGTTGCACAGAAAGTTCACACAGGCCAATATTATTCGATTATATGAATTATAGAGGGACAGATACTTAAATAAAACCCATGAATGTTACTATTATTAATTCAAAAACATTATTGGTTAACAATTTAAAACAAAAGAAACATTAACGTTTAATAAAAAATTACACTATTTTAATAGTGTAATAATTTCCTGCTAAGAATCTTCTTGCACAGGCATAAATAAGAAAGATATTTAAGTATTTCCATCTAAGTATTTACTTCATCCTGTATTATAAAATACTTCGTCATTAAAATTGTTAATTAAGCAACGTATAAAAACATATCCAGGATGTTTTAATCAGATCATAAAAGGTTTTAGGATATGACTATCATATTCGTAGTTTGACGACATGAAAACTATAAAAGATTTGATGAGGTATTCATTTCTTCTACCTTTCGTCCATCTTAATTAATATTTATAAATAGTTTATATTTTCGTGTAATAAGAAAATTATTGTTTCCTTTGATGTACAGAGTAATTCGAAATCAGTAATATATTTCTTTATAGCAGACAATATATTAAACTTTTTCAAGTGTTCAAAAGAAGCGTATAAAGGAAGTGTTTTTGTAATCAAAGGAAATACACTCAATTTTGTTCTTACACAAACTGTTTTTTACACGAATTATTTTTCTCTGTTTACGCGAATCGTTTGATTTAACACGGATTAGAAACAGATTCATATTTCTTTTAGATAATTTGATTTGATTTAATACAACTAAATACTAACATAAATTTTCAAATGCTTTATTATATTATTTTGATGATTCCTTACGTGGGACGTATCTGTCGTGTAAAAACAGAATTGTGCGTACTGAGTAATATCAGTATCGGCACAGTCGTACTTAGATTTTGTGACGTAAGAAGGAAAAAAAGATCGTATGAAAAGAAACGCATTAGTTTAATGACGGGCCAATTTGACTTTAGTGGGGACTTTATAATCACGCAGATGTTGTGTATGGATTATTAATGCCCGCGATTCGTGACACACTGACATTCGTATGCATATTGATCCTAGTTTATTGACTTATACCTATTTCAGCCATTGCCAGACCAACGTCACCGTGGACAACACTTTGTGCGTTTAATTATTATTTACATGTTTACAGCATTTTTCGTGTCTAAATTTGTCTATTTTCTTAGTTAATATGTTCCGCTTAAGTTATAGAAGAAGATGTAATGTAGAATGTAGTAAAATACAAGTCCAAAACAGAATGTACGTTTTATGTCTATACGTTCATTGTATGTTGTATGTATCTGTGTGTGAACGTCCATTATTATTCAGTGTAATAATTCTACCGAGTCATTGTATACTCTGATCTAATGACCTTTCTGTAAAGGTCACGACTTCAACCACAACTTGATATTATCTTTTCGACTATAGTCTCTGAGATAATGCGAGTTAATGTAAGAAAAGCCATTGACAACGTCGTTAAAACGAATATTTACTTATCCTTATACATTCTCCTATTCCGTAAGCAATTCTCTTGAATACGAATCTGTAAACTGATTTTCTCCACCGATATTAGCTTTTGAGAAAGTTGATTTCCGAAATATCATAAGTTACCATCAATTTTAGACATACCAAATTGACAATTTCAACAATTATTTGTACGTCAATTATGAAAGCTATATAAATATTTGTCGCAGTAAAAGTTCAAATGAAATATATGTATATTCTTTTTAGCAAAAACTGAATAGATTTAAATACATGTAAGCAATAAATGTAACAGTGAAGCAAACTCATGCTGTTGCATGCAGGAAACGATTGCATTGTATTGAGGAGACTCTCAAACGATTATTAGCATTAAGAATCGCTGACAATACTTCGTGTCTCATGCAACTACTTTACATTTTCAATGAAAAATGGAACCTTTATTGTCGACTCCATATACCATAGAATTGTCGAGTACTATTTCAAATCCTCATTTTTTAGAATAAACTGGAAGATATTTATATACATAGTTGATATTTAATGGATATTTCGCTTGTTTTAAAAATTGTTTAACATTTAGTATCATTGTGTAATACCCGTATAATGTAAATAGAAAGAGTTGGAACACCATTGACTGATTTTTATATGAAACACAAGAAATTACATTGTTGTAATAATGTCCTACAAAATGTCCCTTAGTGAAAATATGTAAATACAAATATCCTCCTAGCGCAGTGTGTCTCATTCCTGAATGCAGTACGTAGTTTCGTTAGAACTACCGAAAGCAACGGATAGTGTTCTCTTTTTTCTTAGATAATTTGTTTTTTCTCTTTGAAAAATTTGTGACGGCTACATATGTATATGGTAGTATACACGTGGAAATAAAAAAACTGTATAGTTTTGTTAAGTCGAAGTATTTTCCAATATGATTTATGCATGTTATACTCATGTTACGTTGTGCAATAAAGTATCATTCGATTACCAAAGTACAATGAACGTTTCAATATTTGAAATTTCTTCCTTTATCTCATTTATTGCTACTATAAGTATAATATACTCTCTAGCAACACTATTGTTCGTGGCAATAATAATTAAATTGTATAAAAATCTGTAATGATTTAACAGTTTTCTGCATGACGTAACGCTATGTTACATACAAAATTTTCCATTTAAATAAAAGATGTTTACATTTGAGATTTTTTATTTATTTTTCCGACAACATACAAACGAAAATATATCGATAGGAATTTCATAATACTAAGGGTTAAATATATGTATTTAAGTAATTATAATATTATAAAAATATACAGCATTTTACTTGGAAGAGTCTGTAGAACTATGCTTCCCAACGTGAGATGTAGGCCTCACGGGGAGACAATTTGATTTTTAAGGAGGACAGTTGGACAATGAGTTATTAAAAGTGAATTTTTTGCATTTGTTATGGTTCTAGGAGTCTCATATATAGTATATATTGGTGTATATATTATTCATGTACTTATTGTATATTGTATATTGTATATTGTATATTGTATATTGTATATTGTATATTGTATATTGTATATTTTATATTGTATATTTTATATTGTATATTGTAGTATACAAGAATCTCACTAACTTTAGTCTGTTTATCTCAAGATGAGCTCAAATTTTTTTTTGAATTTATTAGGCACAATTTTTTCAATTTATTAGGTTTATTTTATTGTATAGTAATTGTAATGATCAAAATATTACAAAAAAAGGCCCGATTAAAATTATTTTATATTTATGGATATCAGTTTTCTGTTCCTATTTGAAACTTTACTTGCAGTTTTTTCATATTACTCAATATTATTATTTTTTAAATAATTTCTTAGTGATTTTTTCCTCGATATTTTCGTTGTTTTTCATTTTTTTATTTTTCTCTTATATAGATACCATGTTCTTTGAAAGCTTGTTCAGACCAAGTTAATAGTGTGTTAGGCTTCCTCCATGTGATCAGTTCACTTCTTGAATAATAAGAATTATATGTCACAGAGAGGAAGGCATCAGAATTTTAGAGATGCTTGGATGTCGTATAGCCAAAAAAAGTATGAGAATCACTGATGTAGCATAATTTTCAGCAAGAAATGTTTGTACAATTAACGCATAAATAATTGTTGAATTTAGAAAACTTTGATATCCTCTCAAAAAATGTAATCTTCTCTTCTAAAATTATTTATTAGTTGGTGTGAAACATATAAAAAATGCGCGAAAAGCAGTATAATATTATTACTATACGTTGGAACTCACCAAAAGCATCTCTGGCAGTCAAATTGGTTGCAAAAGGATATACGCTGGCCTTAGAGCATTTTCTACTGAACTTCGGCGATCCAGGCACAATACCATTTTTATCCGTGTCATATATCATGTCTTTGTTGTCAGCGACCATCACTTGCATGTTTTTGTTCATCGTCAATGAATTTGTCTCTGCTGAGCTAGTCGCCCTTTGAGGTGTTGCAGTCGCTGAGGTGGCCCGCGATGTTGCATTTTCAGATTCTGGCAGTAATGGAGAGTTTCGTGGGCTTTGGTCGTCGACATTCACATTTCTGGAGGATGAACTTTGCTGCCTGCTTTTATTGTTCTATGTAACGAACGATAATTTATTTGTTTATCGTACACGTGCAAAAATATTAGAAAAAGAATGTATGATTTGGCGAACGGATCATGCTTTCTAACATAAAAATGCAATAAATATATTATTTGAGAAATTGTACCAGTACCTGTTTTGTTATTAATAATTTATTGAAAATGAGAGAAAAATTCTAGGAACATTCTATGTCAATGTTTGCTTCAGAGTATTGATAATAGAGGAATAATATTTAATTTGAATTCAAACGAATTGAATAATATTTATTTTTGTTAAATACTATTTGAAATCTTCACCGCGAGTCTGGAAAGATAATGTATGACAAGGGGTTAACAAATATTCATTTACTATAATGTGTTTTATATAGAATTGTTCGTTAATTGATATATCAGTATTTCTTCCCTTTTTCAATTAAACTAATACTGGGTTCTATTTTTTTCATTTCCACTATACTTTTCAAATCAATTTGATTGGAAATAAATATTTAAATCCTAAAATAAATTGTCTCATAAAGATGTTTAAATAAATCTTAATATTTCTCACTTATTTCTGTACAATTACGAAGTACTAGATTTTGTTAAATTTATTTAAATTTTGTCACTTCCAGAACAATAAAACTTTAAGTATAATATTTTGAAAATTTCAATTGAAAATGAAATTAAAAACATTATACCTTAGTAAAAGGAGGTATTAACGATAAAGCTACAGTGAAAAATAATGAGCATGTGTTTACTTTTATTAAAGAAAATAGACATTTTATACGTTAAAACCTTTATATATATTCTGTTAAGGTTTAATCAGCTATTTAAATATTTCAATTATATAGAAGGCTCATTCGTTCCACTCCAAAAGCAAATTAGCCTAGAAATAAGTTACTGCCAATAAATAAATATACAAATTTTTAATAATACACTTTTCCACTTTTCTCACTAAGTTCACTCGTTTATAAAAAATGGTAAAAAAGTGCTATTAATGTTTCATGTTTCTGTTGAAATTATTTCGTGCATGTTAACATGTTGTGTGTTGACCACCACGGCCATTCTATTTATTAAAGTTCCATTATTATGACGATCGATGAAAACGGGCAACATTTTCATTCAAGTTCACATTTAAAACGAATGCTTAACAATTCTCCCATAGTTTAACGTTTATTTTGTTTTCCTAAGTATGGATATAATTAAACTGTCAATCTAGATAAAACGTGACGAACATAGATTTATTGCTTAGATAATTCTACTGACGCTATATGTCGATTAGATGCGTTGGAAACAGATCGCAATGAAAGTTTAAAATATTCACTGCTCTTTCATTGCATGTAGAGACAATTTTGCAGATGCGTATGTACTATGATAGTATCATTTACTGCATAATGGATGATAATAACGTCCCTTCATTGCACAGAAGTCAGAAAACGAGGCCATAAATATTTTATGAACTATATTACCCTATACTTATTTCTTTGAATTTTATTTCTAAACATTAATAACATGTCATGTCAGATACGGTAATGGCTTTACCAAAAATATCATACATTTACCAGGGACACGCGATTATGTATAGAATGAACTGCAGTGTGTAATTTATAAAATGTTTAATAAAATAACGAAGTACTTTTTTATATTAATGTGTAAGAATTTAGTCTTGCATCCTAATTAAATTATGAGCTCCATGCGTTTGCAGCAAATATGGATGTACGTACAAAGTACGCTCATGTAAAAATATTAACTATGAATAATATTGTTTTCGTTTTATCTTCGAGATGAAAATTAACTTTGCAAATGGTATCAGTGTCTCTCTAATTTTAATTGATGTAAAATAGGTTATGAACAAAGAAATTTGTATAAACATTTAGAATGTAATAAAGGCACAGGTCCATCATCTTTTAGATTATGATACTATGTGGTTACAGGGGCTCTAAACATAACTAAATAATTACGTATCACTATTTGCGGAAATAAATAAATAAATAAAAAATAATTAAATAAATCATATTTGTATAAATTATTTGAAAAGAAGTAATGGATGTACTTTGGTCAAATTTTGTATGATACTTGGTGCTGCATGGTTTATTGAGAAATTTATCGCATACATAAATTAGGATACTAAAAATATATAAAGACGTTCAAAATATCTTGAATGGTTCAAATTTTGAAAAGCGTAATTTTTATTATATCCGAGTTAATGAAATAGTGTTCAAGCTAATTAGTTACATACATAATAAATTAACTAATGCATGAAAAGTAATATTAAGATTAATTATTTTTTAGCTTGTTTGTGTCAAAAACATTAATTTTATTACTTTTACATGTCAATTGATTAACCATCATTTAGAATGATTTTACAAACTATTATATTTTCATACAAATTGTACGCTTAAATTATCATAATCGTTAATGAAAAACAGTTTCTTTTTAGTTCAAATGTTTGTCCACTAACTACTATTTTTATGTTTCTTTAAATTTACAAACACAATAAATGTAAACAATACCAAAAATTGTTCCATATATAATTTTTGTTGTGAACATTGAGAACTTAATGTTAAAAAGAAGCAATAATACCATACACCATAAGCAACGTTTACAAGTTTCTTATTTATTTCAAAGGTGGCGGCCATATTACACACTACAAATATCATACCTGCATCTCATCTTCCATCCGTAGCTCACCGTTATCCATCGTGCTTACCATAAATCAACAATTCCGCAAACAATCCTGCCACCAAGAAACACCAAAACAATATTCACTCTTCGCGACAGTCCTATTCGTCGCTATCATTCAGAAACCCAAAATAACAATAAAACACTGTCTCTCCCCTCAACAGTAGTCAAATACCATCCTCTTATTTTCATAATTGCAACTCGATCAAATGTCCCTTGCTACACAATAATCGTCAACTTGCTGAAAACTGAAAAACCCTTCTGATCCAGGATTATTGTTCGATCCAAACACCTTAACAGTCTAGCCCACTTCTCGTACCCAAAGATACAAATTCCATCACAAATAATCGAATTCAGTCATTCGTTTCATTCATTTCGTTTAGTTCACAAACATGAATATCGTCAACGTCTAATGTTCCCTTCCATTTGAATAAAAAAACTAAATCATTTCGCGGTTTGGTTAGGTCGAACATAACCACATTCGGAAATAAGGACGATCCTCCGATGTTGTCTTTGGCGATCGATCGATGACGCTCTTGCAAATCACCGGAAACGTGGGGCTTCGGTCTGATCGACGGATTCGTATGCGAAACCAGTGGTGATCGTTACTGATCGCTCATCGCCGGGTAAACGAGGATCGATCACGGTCTCGGTCCGCCTGACCTCGGGCTGGTTAGACCTCTTTCTCAATTATGAATGGAGCACGGCCAGCCTGCTCTATAGTTATCACTCCGACGGGGGTTTCTGTGCCCTTGGCCGACGAGGAAACGTGCTGACATTCTGGCCAACTCTTTTTCCCGATCTAGAATCGAATCTATAGATCTTCGGCCCGATACGAAATATCTTCGATAGGCACGACGCTGTTCACGATGCGCTTGTGGTCGTCGCTGCTCGAGCACTTCTGTCTTTTGCCCTTCTATTTATAACTATCGTTTCTAAGATTAGGCTACGATGATTATTGCAATCGATTCTTCAGGGAAATTTTATGGACAGTGAAATTTATTATTGAACTGTGGTTTGGTACATTGTTTGAATAAAGATCGGCCATCGTGGATCTCTATTTCCTGTCTTTTTGACTTTCCCTTAGTCTCCGTTTTCTAGCAACTTACTATTGTATTTCGTATTATGACCTTTGATTCTATTATGAAGTCCAAGTATCATGGTGTTGTCGATGATTCGTAGTCTATTGAGATTCTTGATGTCATCGTGAATGTTGTACAGGTCGGACGAGAGTGAAGTCACGTTTCCGGAAAAGATGACATTCCATGTCGATTCAAGTTGACGGTAGCTTTCTCTAAGTTTAGGCTAATATACTGATCAAAATCGTTAGGTTGACGCTTGGTATCGAAAAGACAGCGTTCAATTTTCTGAAGTTCTACTATCTTTTTGCGATTTTAACTTCCTATTGTTTTTCGTTGTGACGACGTGCAGCATCTGAGTTTCTGAAGTATATATTTTCGATTTTGTTGCCGGGACGATTATCACAGGTGTAGTCACTTTTTGCGATTTTCCAAGCTGAAGATTCTCGGCTGTCAATGTACTTATTTGCCTGTCAGATGATGCCGGTTGTGACCGCGGCAATAGTGTGACACATACTGACCGCCTCGTGGCAGCATGATAGTTATATGTTTCATGTATGGCCGTGCGTGTATTATTTACGAATGGCAACTATATATATATATACGTGTCTTTGCACGAATAGACACACATGTAATTGCGAGCGTGGCTCGTGCCGCGATATTCTTCTACAGGTTGGGCAAAGAAGTTCCGTCGCCGGACTATAACAGCGTGTGCCATCAAAAATAGACAAATTTTAGCTTGAATTGTTCGAAGCAAGAACATTAGTTTTATCTAATGAAAATGAGAAATTCAATTTTAATTGTTCGAAAATATTAATCTTTCAATGATCAAATGCATATTTTAAGTTTTTCATTAGTATACTAACGAGTTTTGAACAGTAAACAAATGATAAGAAAGTTTCCGTTCAAACTTTATTCCATTGGAAAGAAAATTGTAAATTTAACTGTCGAAGAATGCAAGTACTGCAAATTCTTTGTCCAAATGAAGATTTTCGAATAATGTATAATGAATAGAAAAGGCTTTTGTTGACTTTTCATTGAACAAACTTCGAGTCAGATTTTAAATCAACTTTTGGCTACACTTTACAGTTATATAATCATTATGCAATCTTTACTTTGTATTATTATGTACTATTGATTACATTTTCATAAATATTGAATAATGAAGATAATATACAATGATAATTTTAATAGTAGGAAAATAATTTTCCAATTATTAGACACATTTTATCTTTCATCCCCACAAACATTTAAACAATAAAGGGTGAGAAACTTGACGTCTATTTTTAATTTGAATCATCAAGAAATTCGGATTGTAAATAAAGGTTATTATTATAATAAAGTTTAACTTTGCTTTAAATCTTCTATCGAGACAGAAGTTTCTGAATTACCAATAAATGACTAGAAACTTATTGTCTATTTTTATTGAATAAACAAGAGAAGCTCATTTTCAAAAATAAAAAACAATACCCATTTTTCTATGACCGAGCATAAATGTTCAACAATGGAAGATAATACTCATTTTTCTATAACTAAACTTAAACATTCAATAACAACAAAACAATGCTCATTTCTGAATTATCAAACACTCGTTTCAAATTGAAAAATTCGAATGTTTTATAGTTCGACACTCTAAAACTCTCATTATCGAAACTTTCAGTGAACTACGTAGTCATCTTAGTAAAAATTTGTCCCCAGCGTTCATTTAACGTTTCAACTAGCTTCATCGGAAGATCGAATGGCACACTAACACAATTCCACTCCGCGATGTCCGCTATTCAAGCATACGCTGTTTATGTTTTGGATCAATGATCACCGACCAGACATTTTAATCGGTCGGCCGATCAAGGCAGTCTAAATTAGAGTACCACAATTCAAGAATAGGTATCCCCCTATTCTCGTTCAATCCCAATTTACGTGATCGCCATTTTACATAATTCGACCCGGTGTACGTGACGGGCGATTACGAGCGTTCCCAGCGTTTGTGTCATGCTGATGGATCACGTTACCTGTGCCGGAATCCGATGAGCGACAACTTCGCCTTTCGTGCGTTCGCTATTCATGATTTCCTGCTGCCTCGGATTCACACACATAATATGACACACGCACGTCTTGTGACAATGTTTCTGGCGAATCGCGTGTATGCGCGCGCGTGCATGTAGCGGAGAGTGTCGCGGAAAATCTATCAGCGATTTCAGGACTCGAGTGGGTGTGCAGTATCGAGGAATATACAGGACAACAAGGTTTTTCGGATCGCTATGGTTACCGTTCGAGCACAACACATGTTACATATCGTACTTGTGTATCCGCGTATAGATTGGGTAAGAGCTTGCCATTGCCCCCAAGCTTTTAGCTCATACGGTAGGATCTCGATTAACCGAGTCATTATTTTGCGATTTAGGTCGTTCCAAGTCTGTGATTATACGTCCGGATATATGCGATCGAATTTTCCAAATGTATTTTAACACGCTCAGCGAGAATTTTCAGCATTTCGTGTAATATTACTTATCGTTTTATAATAAGGACGAATAGCTGTAGAATTAATTATTAATAAGTTGGTATGAGAATTACGATACAATGTTATCTAATCATTTACATTAGTAAATATTTTCATTTAACATCGATTCTTTTATTGTGATTGGTTTTAAGCAATTTGGAAGCTACTGTCATCAGTGGCTACCGTGGCAGTTATCGTGTTAAAGAATTTTTTCTCCAGTAACCATTTGTTTAAACTGTTAACCACCTAATTAAATCAGTTAATCGAGAGATTACTGTGTTAACCTTTCAACTACGGATGGACTAACTGCGAAGCTATGCCTCGGTGCGGCAAGGTTTGACGCGGTCTGCATATCATAAATGTAATATCACTGCGATTTGAGACTGATAGAACTTTCCACTGTGCGATTACGTTAGATTAGACTATAATGCATAACTATTGATGAAAGAGAAAGAATTGTGCCACTATAATGATGTACTGTTCAAAAAGATGATATGTACGAAAGTCACCATAATGACGTACAGTATGTAGCTAAACGGTTAAACGAGGCGATCTGAGTAACAAGTGCGATCTCGGCAAATGTCTAATTGATTACACACACATTGGTGTTAGAAAATCTGTAAATGTAGATTTCAGACATGGTAGAAGGGAAAGTAGTGGAAGGTTACGTAAAGATCATATTTTCAAATGACTACAAATTAACTGGTGGACCACGCGTGTCGTGGAAAGACAAGTCACTGTAGTCACCAAAGTGTTATATTAATTAATTCCTTGTTTGAAGACCTAGTAAAGTACGATTTAGTAGAAACTTCCACTTCAATAAAGTTCAGCCACAGATTGATGTCTGGACTATAGATTTTGTGCATTCATAGTAAATTGAATGTAGATCGTTGTTCATTTTTTTAATCTGAGAAGGTATTCAATAAATAATGAATAAAGTTCTACTAGATTCCATTTTTCTATTTTGATGGAGTGATCAAAATGATTAATTTCTTTGGTGAGTAATGTTTCAATCCATAGTAGAGCGAAAATATTTAATTTATTCATAAGTCGTTCCTTACAGAATGTTTATAACGCTATGGCATGGTACATGATAACAGAGTGAAGAATTTTCATTTCAAAGTTTTGCTCTGCTATGCATGATCACAGAGCAAAGAATGTGAATGATTCAAGAGTTGATTTCATCCTCTTACTGTGTCGAATGGAAATACTTTCTTGGTTAATTCATTGTGCTCTACAGTGCCATACAGTTCCATTGAAAACACTGTTATCGGATTACGAACACTTTCTTGTTACATATTAAATTGATTTGTATTGAGTAATGTATATTGTATTTGGTCTCCTTTATACCCAAGTAGATATTCCATGAACTTAAAATATCAACGAAGCAGTGAAGTACTTACATGATCGTGTCGATAGTTATACTAGACATGACATTGATGAGACTTGAATATAAGAGAATGCATAGTCACTTTTTATACACTATTGACGTCAAAAACTCTGATCCCTATGTTAAAAAGTAAAGAATATAACAAATGTAGATTTGCTGTATGTGCATAATTACGATAAACGATGAATATCAATGTAAATTTATGAACAACTTCAAAATAAAATATGATTGACTAATAGAATATTTTCTTTCTTGTGCTGGTCAAATAATTTATTACTAAAACACAGATAATCTTGACAGATGATCTTTGTTATAATCATTTCGTTAATGTTATTAACGATTTATGAAAAATATAATTATCCTTTTATCGTATATGTTAAGTATAATTATTCTTTTCTTTAATGAAATGATATGCAAGTACTTTTTTCAACGACGATCATTAAAAGAGAAACAAATAAATTAATCACAATTACTTTGATATCAGAAAATTTGCAATTATGGATTTCAAATATGGTAGAAAAAGAGTAATGAGAGATTATATAAACATATTTTTCTATGAAATTTAAAGATACTACATTTATCTCAGTTACTACTTCTTTCGTGAAAGGCTTCAGTAAATTGAAAATAAAATGAAACAATATTAAATATACTAAACTTTTCATTTCCTGGTTTTAAAGACCTATGGACGCAGTAAATGTATAAAATTTTCATAGTTTTTAATAATTAAACTTCGGATAATTTTTTAATGTCTTTCGTTTAAATAATAATTCCTACTCTTTGATGTTTTCATTGCGTCATGTCAGATATATAGATATCTTATGTAAGTACATTAAGTTATTACAATTTCACTTTATATTTACAAATAAATTATTCTTATTAACAGTTGGCAAATCTCTTGTATTACCTAGATCACCGACGAGAGATAGAATAGACTGAATATCGTACAGGACTTTGTGTCTGAAAGTCTGAAATACCGATCGTATGAAGAAGCATGTGGCGTGTATCTTTATTCAACATAGTTATTTACAGTATTCATTAAGTTGTAATGTGAATGTCACTGAATATCCGTGATATTAATGAAAGAATTTTAAAATGTTAAAAGAATTGTAGAAGTTAAGCAATCTCTAATAATAGATAGGAATTGACTTTATCTACAATCTACGTTATCGACACATTGGTTACAATCAGTTTGATATGCCCTCTACAATTCAGAGTGGCCAGTATAAAAATTATATATAGTTATAGATGTATGTTAAATCTGTACGTTGGAACAACATCCAAAAACCAGATAAATCCGATAGGGCTAAAATTTTCCAAATAGCTTTATTTTGCATGAAAACAATGTTTGCTGGAGGGGTTTGTGACGATGTTAAAATTAAAATGGAAAATTTTACAAAAAACTATTTTATCATATGAGTGTCGCTCCTTGTAATTTCTGAAACTTATATGGTCTGATTGATCCAGTATTCTGTTAATCGCTTCATTCTGCATAGGGAAAGTGTTTATGAGAGGGGTTGTTGGCAATTAAAGTTAAGATACAAAATTTTACTAAAAAGCATTTTACCACTGTAAGATCACTCTCTACGAAGCCGACACTGCGTGGAATGAAATTACAA